TTTATGTGTCCACAAAAGAGTTCTGAAAGGACTGCTATTTGATTTTATTATGGGTTATAGGACAGAAAACTAGGTAATATATTAAAATTATAACAATACAATGATCTCTCTCCCACATGTAAACCCTGTGTTCTGTTGACAGACTTTTATTGCTTATCGAGTGTTATCAAGTTGACATATAAATGTATCTAAACTGGGAAGCATGTTTTAAACAGAAGTTGGTTTATAACCTATCTTATGATAACTGATCATAAAACATAGTGTCAACTTCATATAACACGCAATGTACTTTGGCAGGACTATGGTTAACATATATTTCATAAAGGTATGGTCAGAAATGCTATTTAATAAGAATAGATAAATATTATTTAACTTTTCAATCGCCTCTTTGCTGGTAAAAGCGCTAAAATTAGGTTGTGTGAAGATGATGCTGATGATGTAACCACACACATAGAGTTTTTTCCGCCTTATTTACATATTTAGCTGACCTCTCGCCAACCCGCTGCCTGCTCATTACATATTCATGACCTTTTCATTCACTTAGAGCGCCCTGGGCGGGGCTTAGTCTGAGGGGCGGGGAGAATGCAAATGACTAGAGCGCCTCTGCTCATCGACGTACAATCAGGCCACGCTCGAGCGGGCGATCTGATTGGACAGCAGCACCTGATCTTACGACGGCTAGAGCCGAGCGGCAGCCTATCAGACGCGATTCTCACTGTTTGTGAATGACGTCACTGCTGAGGCGCAAGATGGCCGCGTCTGGTCGGTAAACGCTCGCCCGACCGCGGAACCGAGCGAGTGAACCCACGGAGTGTGTGTTGATGCTGTGAGCGAGTGTTGAGGAGCGAATAACCGACAGAGACTCGCGACTCTCCGCGAGGATGGACGCCTCTGAGTTCATGGACACGATGGACCCGAGCTTAGCCGAACTGGGCGATGAGTTCACACTGGGAGACATCGACGGTGAGAGAGGAGGAGGAGGATGATGATGATGATGATGATGTCCTTCAGTTCAGTGTGTGTGTGTGTGTGTGTGTTCAGATCAGTGTTTTTCTGTATTGTTTACACTGTTAAAGTGTCTATCATGTGCGAGTTACAGTAAACCTTCAGATAACACGCTAAAATACTGGATTATTATTATAAGCTATGGCAGCAGAGAAACCAGTTCAGTCTGGACTGGGATGTGATGATGATTATGATGATGATGATGATGATGCATTTATCATCATCATCATCGTGTGTGTGATAAATCATAGGTATTGTACTGACAATGTTATTGGATGAAATTAGTGTTGTTGTTTATAGGTGTTGTTATTAGTGTAATCGTTGTTAATATTGCCATTAGGGTTGTTATTCTAATTGTTTTATTGGTGTTTTTGTTGTTGTTATTAGTGTCACTAGAGTTATTGTTGTTATTAGTGTTGTTATCGGTGTTATTATAGTTTTTAGTGTTATTATTCAGGGCTCAACTTTAAGGATTTTTCCACTGGCCCGGTCGGCTCACCACAAAAAAAAAAAGTATTAAATTAATTAAACTAATAAAATAGTTATTCTTGACCCAGAAGTTACCTTAATAAATAAGGTTGTGACACCAAAAATGACTGGACTAACAAAATATTGTTAAAAGACTATTAGTAATACAACAAGAGCAAATAATACAATTACGAGCAATAGCACAAACACATAAAAAACATACAAATAAAATAGTTTTTCAGGTTAGTCCAACTGTTATTTTCAGGTAGAGGAAATTAATAATTAATTGTTATAATTAGCAGTGCAAAGTCTTCACTGTTTAAATATAGATTAAAGTTACACCAGGTGTTCAGTCAAGAGCAGCGAGTGATGTTTCCTTGGTTTAGTTAACGTTTACACACACACATACACACAGAGCAGGTTTATTAGGCCACTGTCACTTTAAGAGCGTCACAGATCCAGTACACTGATACACACATGCTTTACTCCTGTTTATCATCACTTTACATTATATCAGTGTTGTTATTAGTGTTTGTAGTGTTAGTAGTTGTGTTGTTAGTATTGATGGTGTTGTTGATGGTTGTTATTATTAGTGTTCTTATTTTGTTATTGGTGTGGCTATTTGTGTTAAAGGCTGTGTTGTTGCTGTTAGTGTTTTGTATAGTATTGTTATTAGTGTTGTAAGTGTTGTTGTTAGGGCTGGGTAATAAAAATCGATTTCTCGATATTAATCGATTCTCATTTTTACAAACCGATATCGATTCTTAAATCTCAAGAATCGATTAGTCATCCTGTTTCATTTTATGAGTGAGACATTGCATCGCGGCTGCGCGCATCCAATCTGTGTCCTTTGTTACTATTGATATGAAACAAAGTCTCAATTTTCAAATTACATCCATTTTCTTTAGAAACTCAAAAACATAAATAGCGTTTTGCCGTTTTGTCGCTGTGGCGTGAAGCTCTAGAGAAGCAGCGCAGCGCTGATTTCTCTTCCGGGTTAATAATACCATGCAGTTACAGCGCGAAATAAACATGAATGAGCATCTGAAAGTGTGTTAAAGATAGAGTACAACTTATCCAAATCCGTATCATGGCTTATTGATTCACTCAATCAGCGTTTCAACCGTGGAAAGACGTCAATTAAACAGCTAGTAATCAATGTCATGTATCGTCACATTTACCTCAGAAAACCCACATAAACTCGTTAGTCCACACTCGTTAGTATTCTTCAATATTTAATGCATATTTGAATAAATCTGGCAAGTTTTTATGACAGCCACCATTTAAATGTTTATATTTCATATAATCTTCTTATTATTAAAATAAAAAAAAAGTAATTTAAGTGTTTGTATAGCTACAAAACAGTTAATTATTACCTTCATATTAGGCTAATGAAGCCTAGTAGGCTACAACTAGACTATATATATATAGACCATAGTTTACAGCATTTAAGAGATTTGATTTCCTTGAGAAAAATCGCCATTTATTGTAACTTATATCCAAAATAATCGATATTTAATCGAAATCGAATCGAATTGCAAGCTTGTGAATCGAAATCGAATCGTGAAATTTGTCTCAATACCCAGCCCTAGTTGTTGTTATTAGTGTTGTTGTGATTGTGTATCAAGGCCGTGCGTGTGATTCAGGGCCGCATGAACAGATAAGCGGCATGAATGAAAGTAAATGTTACACACACACACACACACACACACACACACACACGGTGATCTTGACATCAGATGATTGTCAGTCAGTATAGTTGATGGATTACAGCATGAGCTGACTCTAGTTCTCCTGAAGGAGTGTGTTGTGTAGAGATGAAGAGTGTATGACACACACACACTCCTCTCTGTGTCTCAGCGATCCTCTCTAAAGACACACACACACTTATGTCGTGTGTGTGTGGTTATTATTTCCATTTGCACGTTCATGTGATAGTGTGAGTGTGAGTGTGTGTTGTGTGTGTCCAGTCTCTAGTGTTTGTAAAGCTTTGTAAGATCCAGAAGATGATGTGAGTCCAGCAACACACATATCAACACAAATCAGAAGAAATGATTTGATTATGACAACGAAGCATTTCATGACTATTAAACAAATAGAGTTGGACATACACACCGATCTGACGAGTCTGAATTTAACGGCCGATGACCGATATTGTGTATTACTGTGCATGCCTGAAGTGTGTGTAATAAGTTAACGTGATCGCAGCGCTGTGGTGTGAAGCGTTCTCATCCTCATCCTGAGTTTCGGCTGGGCTGTGGTGGAACTGGGCATTCCTGTACTGGGAACACTGGTTTGATCAGTCCTGTGCACGTTGGGACGTGTCTCATGTAAATCAGTGTTCACACACACAAAGCACAGCGTGTCGAGGACAGACGTGTGTGTCATCATCACTGGCCTTCATCTCATTATCTCAGGTCAAAGGTCAGGGTCAGGAGTGTGTTAGACAGCAATTGACCTTTATCAAAGCTCCGCCCCCTTCACCTCTACACAGCCTGTGTAATAATGGAGTGTGTGTTCATTATCAGCCGCGGTGAGGGTCAGGACAGTCATTACCGCTTCATATCTCTGACATCACAGCTGTTAGTCTCACCGCCACGACAGAAGACTGAAATCTAATGGGTTTAGTTAGATTGTAATGCATTAATTAAAGATTTCCAAACCCATTATATATTATATACCCCTGGAGAAAACATCCAGTAACCTGTGTTAATATGAATGCTTTTAAAGCGACACAGATTTAACTGCTGTGACTTTAAAAATATATGACAATTAAATAAAAGCACTTGAACACAGACTTTCCAATTAACGAATATGCATTTTTTTAATTCTAGTCGTTCTTTATTCTTTCAAACTGACATATTTATGTCTATAAATTAAATATAATGAATCTTTATTGAAGAGCTTTGTCTTGTGTTGTTTGATTGATGTTCAGTCCACAGACGGCATTAGGTTTATTACGCACTGTCCCTTTAAGGCCGAGTGCACTGATGCACGTCCAGTATTACCACAACTGCGTGTTCTGGAAAGACATAAGCGACTGTGTTTACTGGAATACTCAATTAGACATAATGTTGTGTGTATCGTGATCAGTCCTCGCGCGCTGTATTCGGTGTGTTCTAGTTTTTATTTGTGGACAAAAATGTTGATAAATTTTCATCATAGTTTTTGCCTTTCAAACAATTTTTTATTAAGTTTTCGTCTTGTTCACGTGTTAACGTGTTACACATAAGTCAAATCAGCTGTTTTGTGTGTGTTTGTGTCTGTCAGAGATGCTGCAGTTCGTCAGTAATCAGGGGGATTTCCCGGATCTCTTTGAGGATCAGATGGGGGGCGGATCTGTGGCCCCCGTGAGGCCCCTCCCACTGACGGCCCCCAGCGCCATCCTGACCCCCCCACACACACCTGTGCAGACCAGCAGCCAGACACACACACAGACGCAGATACAGGCACAGACTCAGACACACACGCAGACGCAGATACACACGCGCACACCGCCGCTGCTGCAGCCTCGACCCCAGCCCATC